CGTGTGTGTATGTGTGTGTTTATGACGCCCACCTTTCATCTGGCCTTTCACCATGGGTGCTGTGATGATGTCACTCACACCTTCCTAAAATAGACGCACACAAACACACATAAACATTGGTATAATCCCAAGTGAGAGTAAGGAGGACGGGTGGAGGCTGGGTTGTGGACAGACGTAACTGGTCAGCTCTTTTAGTCTCTCAGGGTACAGTTTTCTTCATCTCTCTCATCATTTAGATACTGTGTTCAGACTGATCACTGAGGGCCCAGAAAAAGGTCTCCATTAGGTCAGTTTCATCTGAATAAGAAAAAAAGTGGTTATGGGAGTTGTATGCACATCTTCTATAAAGTCAGCTCGAGCAGGGTTTCCTAAAATGTTTAAAGTCAAGGACCCTCACACACACAATAGGTGCACACTAGACCGTGGACCTTTTAGTCTTAAGGAATTCCTTCCACTACTCCTCTATTTTAGGTTTGAGGATAGATACATTTATTTAATCAGGAGAAAACCAGTTGATAATAATGAAATTAATAATAGTCTTTACAGCCCACCAACTTCCAAAAAGGTGATAAAAGTTCAAATATTATATTCTTCCTTTTGCTGAGGACCCACTACAACCCGAGTGGGTCCTCAAGACTGAAAAAAGTGAGAAGTATAGTATATATGAAGAGAGGTAATAAGGGGTGAGGGGCTTGAATTGGAGCCCACACAAATTAATCAGCATGTGATGACCCAAGAGGGACGATAAGGGGGACACGGAGGAAGGAATGGACAGCGTGAAGGGACGGATGAGGAGTGGGGGATGGCGGATAACGAGGACAGAGGGAGGGAAGGAACAAGGGCTATAGGAAGGGTAGATCATCCACAGCCCCGGTGGGGTGGATAGGCAATTACCAGTTGGGACAGACATGGCACTGGGATTGGTGTGTGTAAGTGTTGGGGAAGTGTACAAGAGGGAAGGGAAAATGAAAAGAGAGCATGCAGCAGGGGAAGGGAGAGGAGTGTATGATACAACCTATATCATAATGTCTGTCTTAACAACTTAACTGATCAGCAGTTTCATTTGTTCGAAGTTCAGTTGAACTTTTTAGCTTTTCTTAATACTCTGTGATATAATATAATCTTGGACATTGCTTACATTAGTCATTTGGTAATACATTTGTGTTAAATAATTGATTTATTGCCATATGGTTCATAAGTGCACTTCTTCTTCTCTGTATCCACCGGTTTTCTCACACATCAGTATATAATCCGCCACTGTCTGACCATGTCTGCCAGTTTCTGTATGTGCATAAGACATCTGTCGTGAGCGTATTAATGCTGGAAAATGGTGTCATATGTTCCTGTTTTCGTGTTGCTTAATCCAGCCTACACATGCGTGTCTGTCTCCTATTTGCAGAGGAGGGCATCAATCACGAGTGCAAGCTGTGTAACCAGATGTTTGATTCACCTGCCAAGCTGCTTTGCCACCTGATAGAGCACAGCTTTGAAGGCATGGGAGGTACCTTCAAGTGTCCCGTCTGCTTCACAGGTGAGAGACAGACCCACACACACACACACATTCACCTTCAAGGACAGTAGCACAGATAAATTCCACTCACTTGTGTCCTATCTGCTTTACATTTAAAGTAGACACAGAAACAGAGATACATATGGTATACAAAAGCTTAGGAAGAACTTGGCACACGTACATACACAAGCTACACAGCAGGGACATAAAATTTGCCAGAGGAATCTCACACACACACTCTAATACACCATAAGACACCATTAACAGTAAGGACATAAGGGATACATGCCATCCACAATTTTCTGCCATGCTGTTCTTTTGTGTGTATTTTACACCACTGTACATTACCAATGAAATATAGACTGGGGCTGCACAATTAATCAAAATGTAATCAAAATCCCAATATGGCAAAATGCAATAATATCCAAATCGTAGAAGCTGCAGATTTTTGATGAAGGTAAAATGTGTGACAAATTAGCATTATAATGAAATATTTTAACCTGGCCAACAAATCTTTTTTGGTAGAGACCCTAAAAAATGTCCCCTCATTATAATTTTAATCGCTTTAGTGAAATTTGTGAAAAAAAAAAGTTCATTCATCTCACAGAATGATTGTATATAGGCTACTATTGTCTTACCCTAATACTAAGTGAATATTGTAAAAGTGTTTTCATTTGTGTTTGAATTGCTCTGTAGTCTGTTATCTGTCCTATTCATAGATGAAAAGTGTTTTTACCATGCCAGCCATGCTTTTACATTTCTCATTAAAGCTGCAGACTGAAGAACAAAAATGTGTCTACCACACATTCTCTAAGCACCAAACTGCACACGTATTTTGGTGAAAATGCAAGATGAGGTTAATATTGCGACTGGAAGCACTTAAATCGGCTCCAGTACATGGCTCAGAAATGGCTCTCACTGGGTTACCTGCATCATGATGCATAGAGTCAATGTGCCGTAATGGCTCTGAAATTTTTGGTTTCGGGGGAAAACAGTAAGATCACATTAGGAATATTCATTGTTTTAACATTTCTAACTGTGGGAGTAATATCCCAGCAGGGTGCTGATGTTAAAGAAGTACTGACAAAACTCTGCGTGTGCAAAAGTTCATGCAGTAATACCTCCAAACAGGACAAATATGAAGTACCTTATATCTCGGAAATCCACTGGAGGACCCAAACAAAATGTTGGATGACCAAATTAAGCCCGTGGTGTTTTCAGTTTCATTCAACAGCTTCAGTATTTTACTAGAAACTAAGTCTGCACCTTCCCATCTCTTGACTCTCTATCCCCATATGCTCTCTCTCACTCTGTCACTTACTCACTCTCTTTCCCTCCCTCAGTTGTTGAGTTTGTTCTGTGTTGTGTGCCTCCCCCCCCCCCCCCCCCCCCCCCGGGTACACAGCAACGTTTTAAACTTTAACTCTATTCCTTGGTGGCTTATGAATTAATAAGATGGGCACCAGTCCTATGGGGAGGCTTAATAATTCAACACATACACACTCACACTGAAAGTTTACTGAAACAAAGGGGGGCGAAGGAAAAAAAAGTGTATGAGACAACACTGGAAACTGGAATGTTAAAAAAGAAAGAGATAATTTATTGATAAATATCACAATGTCTGCTGAGGATAGCTCTTCCTGTTTTCTCTCATTCTTTCTCCCTTCTGCCTTTTTTTCTATCCCACACACTCCCTCCTTTCCAAACCTTAATTTGCTATGTTTGTGTGTTTGTGGGGTGAGTTGTACTGAAGGCTCAAAGCTTCATGCACTGTAGTGTCTCAGTCCTTCCCCAAAAACCTTCAGTTGTCTTCCACTGACACACACAACATCAGTTTTCTCCAAAGCTTGGACTTGGACCAGTGTGTAGGATTTAGTGGCATCTAACTGTGAAGTTGCAAATTTCAACAAACGGAACACCACTTGCGTGTATATTTGGCGGCCAGGTAATGAGCCACAATGGCCAATTCAATTTGAAACTTCTGAAAATTATGTTGCCTTGAATATGGTACCATGCTAAGGGCCCCGGGGAACAGACATGCCTAGAACAGTTCAATTAAATTCTGAAAATCCCAACTGAAGAGTCACCCTCATTTCCTTGAGTTTTTGGTCTGTGGAATTATCTTACAAGCTTTCAGTCAGGGTTAAGCATTGGCTGATTGACTTCCTCTAATAAACACTGTGTAACTGTGTTGTATTTGTTCCTTTCCCAGTGTTTGTGCAGGCCAACAAGCTCCAGCAGCACATTTTTGCCGTCCACGGCCAAGAAGACAAGATCTACGACTGTTCCCAGTGTCCGCAGAAGTTCTTCTTTCAGACAGAACTACAGGTAGGTCACCTTAATTCTATCTCTGTGTTGATCTTGACCTGTTTGTCTGTGTGTACTTCTTGTCCGGCATAAATTAGGAAATGATTGTGTGCAGGCGCTGACCACAGTATGTGTGTCCAAGGAGACTCACTGTATTGGAGAAAGTGTAGCTAACTCTTAACCCACACAGGGTAAACAGCTTTCTGGCACCTACCTGAGCAGACCTCCTCATTCCTCCCTCACTCTCCGTCATTACACCCCTCCCTCCCTTCTTTCTAGGTTTCCACCCATCCCTCAGTATACAGTAACCTTCCTCAGTAGCTGCTCCCATCTACTGTACCTCATTTTACAAAAACCCTTTATTCACTCTCTCCACCCTCTTTTCATTCCTCTGTCCCTCTCTCTTTCCATCTCTCCTCATGAGGTCTGTACAGGGTTCTGGCAAGCATCATGTCATTAGGGTCCAGACACATTTATGTGTGTGTGCGTGTGTGCATCTGAAAGAGAAGAGAAGTTATAAGTCACCCAACAGTAGGTCCTGGGCCAGCTGTGGCCAGGCCTGTGATGATGTAAACCTTCCTGTCCTCGTCCATTGCCTCTGTTGTACCCCTTTGGCACCAGATAGTGACCTGCTGGATCTGCAGGTCAAACATCAGCCCTGTTAAAGGTGAAATCTGTAACTTTGCTCGTGCTGCTTCCTGTCGCATTGATCAGAGGTATATGTTCTTGGGACTGCATGAAATTTAAATGGTTGTGTTAGGGATCAAAGCATAGTTTTTGCCTGTCCTGTAAGTTGACCTGCATTGCTTCTGGTATGCGGCTCTGTTCTGAGGAGAATTTATTGACGCTGTCAGCCAGGACAGGTGCAACTCTACGAGCCATAGATAAGTGACAAACTGATCAACAGTCTCATTAACAGAGTATGGAGAGAATATATCCAACTACGATACACTTTCTGGGTTGTGTGTTTTACACTAACACTACACAGATGAAAATATGAATAATTGATTACTAAAAAACAAAACAAATAAAAACTGCAGTCTATCTTTAAGTGGAGGCTGCAAAACCATGCTCAGCACTGTAAAACCAGATAAGTTCATTTAACTCAAAACTGATAACAAATTACATTTTTAAGTAAGTAGCTTTTTTTTAATTCTTAATTCTAATTTAATATTAATTTTGTATTTTTTTTATTTGTACTGTGAAAACAAAATAGTACTTAATCATAAATGTTACTAAGTGTTACTTAAAAGTCCTTAATCAGAAATCTTTTGAACCTAAAACATGCAGTTTGTGTTACTTAAAATGTACTATGTTATCCGTTTAAACCGTTTTTTCAGTTAAAATAGCTCCTCACATTGTGGTGAGTGTTTTGGCATTCCTTTCTACAGCAGATGGACCCAGGTTAGCATGCTGGAATATTCCTGAGCTGTGTTTCACAAAAGCAGCAATTTAGCTTAAAGTTGAACTAGTTTAAGCTCTCCTTCCATTCATTTATTTGGTGCTTCTTGTTCTCTTTGACATTGCAGCCTAAAACTCTACAAGGTCCACCCTAGAAGGATGCAGTCGACTTTGCAGCCAGTAATTCTGATGCTTTATCAGTTTATAAAGGCAGAAGGTGTTCAATAATAAGCACGGTATTTGACTGCTACATGACTGCTAGAAGAGTGGGTGCTGTTCAGGTGTTGCTAACAGAGATTTGGAAGTAAAGTCAGAAAAGGATAGTTTGAATTCTAGCAGGGATTATTTGAATTTACAAAGGCCTGCACCAGCCACCACACAAACAGACACACACACACATACACACACACACACAAAGTGGCAGTGATGTAGGGCCGGAGGTGGTGGGCATATGGCTGGCCAGTCCATTTAACAGCAGGGTGACTGCTGGACCCTGTCGGTTAATGTCCACACACAGGCTCCACTCACACCTCACACACTCCTGCTCACCTCCACACACCTCTACACACACACAGTGTACACAAGAACACCCCCACTCCTCTTCTACATACTACTCCATCCCAGATGACACCTCTCCTGTGGTCTGACCAGGTCGCAACATCTTTATAGAGTGACGAATTGTTGAATTGTAGCAATCAGTTGGCTAAATAAGTGTTGTCGTGCTTGGTTTCAAAAGAACTTGACTACAGGCTTTAATAACTGTTGGTTTGATCTGCTTTTACCTTTTCCTCACATTAATACAGTGCTTCTCAAACTTTGTGCACCACGTACCACCTCAGAAAAGAGCTCCTCAAGTGCCACCATTATGACTGATGTTTAAATACAGCAGCGTTGGGCTGACCATATTCCGCTATGTTGAATCCTGAACGGGACCAGCTAAAGAACCAGAGCTAATTTGGTGGAAAAGGGGTCCTCCCTGTCCACACTTCTCTTCCCGTAGTTCCTGTTTGGAGCCAGAATTGCAGCATTTCATTTGACCCCCACTTACAGTCTTATAGTCAGACTTTAACTGATAACTAACCCTGGATGTATGCAAGCGCTACGTGCATCATCATGACGGAGAAGGCTCATATTGAAACTGAAACATTGCAGGCATTTTAATAGAATTATATATAATTCTATT